CTACAAATGACTTTAGGAAGCGACACGCCCCTTGTCACGGCACGTAACACGCGTGCCTATTTACTTTAGCGGCGTTTAAACGCGCCGAAAGCAGGACGCGACTCGTTGCACCTATGCACGTATAGGTTATCTCGAAATAGGGTTCGTCCGTCTCGAGGAATCGGGAACTCGATTCCCACCCCTTTCCCTTTCTACGGGGGAATGTTTTCGAAACGACGCGACGGGATACTTAAACGATTAGGACGAACGTCGAACAAGCGTGAAAACTGACACGCGCGTCTGTTACGTGTTAATTTATCGCGTGCGTATCGCGTTCTCGATTCATCGATATAGGAACGCGCACGATGGAGAGCTCGTTGGGGGTCAAACGTCGAATGCTGGCACGTGATGCAAATATCGCTTGGGTAATTTGCATCCCGGTCGTATTAGATTCGAGCAATAGAAATGGGATTTCGAGAAATCGTGGAAGTATCGGAGAGGGGAGGGAGAAATTTGGGTACCGGATATGGTTCCTCGAGGAAGTTATGGAGAAAGGGGTGAAAACGTGGTTCTCGAGTCTCCCATGAGACTGCATGCGGGTACCGTAACGTAATATTGGGATATGTTCGACGGATATAGACGAACAATTTGCCAGCATCCGAACTTATCGGCTCGAATTACACCTGTGCATGTAAATCGTTACGTTTCGATCGACTCGTTGGAATAAGGCATAGATTTCTGCGATTGGAAACGATCGACGTGACTAATAGATAGGTGTCTTGCGGTTTCACGATCGGTGCACCCCTCCTTTGCTTTCCTACCCCTTTTTCGCACGTTTTTCCTCTGGCAGATACATATCAAAATAGAGGAATAGAATCGTCTAGTCAGAGGTACCGTGGAGGAAATCGAAATTGAGAAGAAAGCACGTATAACGTAAAGGTATTTTTAATTCGTTTTGAATTTAAGTTTGAAGTATAAGTTTGAAATTTTTATTGGAATTTGAATTTAATTCGTTTCGAATTTGAATTTAAATTTGAAGCGTAAATTTGCAATTTTAATTCGAGTTTGAATTCTAATTTACTATCTTATTATCTCTTTAATTAGCCCATGTTTGCGATTGTATTTTGTACTTACCTCGAAACTAATTATCGATTAAAGTACGATAGCGTGTAAGTCCGAAAGTTTTACTTACCTTCGAATAAACCCATAATTTGTTTCACCCGCTAGTCAATTAGTCACCCTCGGTGCGAAAGTGATTTTGGCAACAGGGTCGTCTCGAAGAGCGAACACTTTGATCAAGCCGTCGGTACTTGATGCACTTCAGTCGTTCACGGAATCCCATTGAATATTGTTATTTCTCTACATAATAACTATTCCTATCGTTTACATCGTTACTCGCAATCGTTATTTTACACTATCGTTAACTATTCCATATTACAAACTGTACCGGCAATTTACAAAATTTTCTTGCAAAAGTTTTAGAGACTCGCTATTTAAGATTAAAAAGAAGTTACTTCACAGTTTTTCACACTTAACGTTCCTCATGTGGGCTCCGTTCAGTTCTGAGTCTTGATTAAAATTACTGCTCACTTCCTCTCAGGCACATCTTTACCGATCCGACGGAACCACGATGAACGCAACCGGAAACCGTCGTTTTCGATTATGCAGTGCATCGAGAACGCGATCGAAGTGACACTCGTGACAGTTATCGTTAAACAGTCATTCCGTTATAGCAGAGAGACAACGGTCATTTTATGCAGCACTGACATATCAAAATACCACGATTATAAAACATCGAATCGTTAAGATACTACATATTTTAGAGTACGTTTAATTTATAATTTTACCGATATTTAAATCGCATGTTTTCATCGGTCCCAACATTTCTCCTGCCGTAGTTTTAGTAACAGTTTTATACGGTTTATAACGCCGATTTACGGATTCTTTCATCCATAATTCGAACTTCTTTTAAACACGCGCGTTTACGTCGCTGGAGAAAAAACCTATGCGGTGGCTGACGGTCGACGATCGAAAATGCGCGCGCTAGCCCTCTGGAAGCGGGAGTGCCCTCAAAGATGGCGCGACATCTTTTTTATCCGGGGGATGCACCTCGCGGGATCAATTCATTGGGCCGTGACTACGCGTGTGTACTATTAAAACAGTGCCGTACGCATTTAGGTATACAACTGGATGCACGGTGCACGCCGAACTCCCCACCGAGCGTAGACGTTCCTCCAACTTGCTACCCTTTCTTCTATCTTTCTCTCTCTGTTCCTGCCTCCCTTTCCGTCTCACTTTTCACCACTCGCTCGACATCTCTCACTCCCTCGCTTACTCTTTGTTTCGCTGCCTCCCTCTATCGTTCCGGATTCTGGAAAAGCTTTCGTCGTACCAACGCAGCCGCATAACCTCACGAGTTGCGCCTGTGTCAATGATTTCTAATGTAGGCGGTACTTAAGCCCCGTTTCATCCCACCGCGACGTGATAAAGGTTTTCATGAAGACAACGCGAAAGTTCCGCTTTCTTATCGTTCGTACGGAGTTCTTCCCGTAAACGACAGTGTCGCGAGAAAATAATTATTTTTATCGTTTTTATTCGCACGATGATACGTTTGCGTTTGGAAATATCAAATTTTGATAGATTAGGGTTCGTATACGGCGAGGAAATTGAATCGGTGACGATTGAGAACCACTGCGCTATGTATTACACGAAGCATTGTTATACGTCTAGATAACGCCTCTTGCTCTGATTGGTCGGTTGGGTGGTCCCATATGCCACGCCTAGTGGCGACTCTATGTAACCATCCCCTCCACGACTCTACTAACACAGGCATAACCTGCTACAGTCTCTCCTTCTCCCTCTCTTTCACGCGTATAATATATCTCCGCCGCTGCTTCCGTTGCCGCCTCTCTTTGTCAACGGTCCTTTCCTCTAGTGTTTCTCTTTTTATTACTCCTGCGCACCGCAGCAACTGGCTAGGTTATACGAAAGCCTTAGGTACGTGTGACTGTGTACGCGGCTTTGTGTGAAGGTGTGCATTTATTTGCACTTTTTTAGCTACCAGAAAGCCCAAGGGTAAGTTTCCGCTGTTCTCCACATAAATTCTTCCGGTTTCTCTCTATTGTTCGCGGCCAAACATATTTTAAATGAACACGAAAGGAATACCATCGGAGGTATTTGTAGAAAATTTCCCGGGGATAAAGATTAGAAGTTAATTATTTGTTGGAAGCTCCGTAAATTTCCCTATCTAATCAGTCACTTTTTTAAGTCTCGTCACGGGTAATTGCTGGGAAATTAATTAAGCGTAACACGCTGGGCTGTTGTACCTAAATTTTCGTCACGGTTGTATTTTTAATGATATACGCAAAACTGAGCACGGTCAGCAGGTAGGCAGCGAGATTTTACGACGTGGAAATCGTTTCCAGATGTTAGTCATTTAGCGATACGACGTGGCCTATTCGGACCACCGACACGAGTTCTCACGCCCAAATTATTATGCCACCACACGAAAATTCACAACAGTGAATGGCAGTTTCCAGCTTTCCCTTGCTTAGCTGATGCTATATGCTAAGGGTAGTATTGCGTGACTTCTTACGTATTTCGAAATATCGAATAGTTGCAGGTAAGAAATACTTTTGTGAAAAATAGAAGGATTTCAGATTTGTGGGTGGGGAATTTCTAATCTTGTGTTTTATGTTCAATATATACGTGTTTTGATAACGTTATTCAAATAAACGAAAATTTCTTCAAATTTTCTTTCTATACTTAATTTCGATTGAACTTACGTATAATTAAGATGTATCATCTAGTACTACTGACATCGTTAACATTTTCACGATATTGTTGATAATACGTTAATGTAAATGAGGCAAATGACTATATCGACTGTAGAAAAGTATTTTGCAGAAAATGGACTAACCTTCTTACCTTACTTCATCGGTTATATCATTCCCACTATTACTGACTATGTTAGCATAAATAACTATTTATTAATTCCGAAGTGTAATTTATTTTATAACTCTATCTTTCAATATATCGTTGTTTTCAATTGTAAAAAACATGGGAAAGATCTTTTATTACTTAAAGATTGATAGAATAGAAAATCTATTTATACTTCCACGATGTTGCGTAGTATTATATAGGGACTTTAATACTACATTGAACTAGTGATTTAATACAAACAAAAATGTGTTCTTATTTACAATAAAAACGCGGTAAATCGTCAATAATGAAATTGTTTATTTTTACACAATTAAGAGTACTGAAACAATAACGATATACAGTTATTTTCGTTATACGATTTATGGATTTTCAATACAATTATTGCGTCGTATTGATCGTGTATATATTTACTTGTTGAAATTTAGGTTATATTATTAAACATGACTGAAAAACAAAAGGTATTAATTTGTGGAGACGTAGAAGGTCATTTTAAATTTTTATTTAATAAAGTTGAAGCTATCAATAAGAAAAGCGGACCTTTTGATTTTTTATTATGTGTCGGAAATTTTTTCGGCAAAAACAATACGGAACTCGAATTGTATAAAAATGGTATGAAAAGTATATCTGTTCCGACATATATTATTGGCGCTAATAATGAAGCTGATTTAAATAATTATCCGGACGTTGATGGTTGTGAAATATGTCAAAATCTTACATATCTTGGAAAACGTGGATTATACACTGCTAGTTCTGGACTTAAAATAGCTTACATTAGTGGTATAGAAAATAATTCTTCAGAAAAAAAATCTATTTACTTTAGTGAAAGTGATGTTGTATCGATTAAGCAGGCTTGTTTAAAAGGTCAACCTAGTTTTCGTGGAATTGATATATTGATGAGTTCCCCTTGGCCTGCTGGTGTTACAAATTTAGATCCTAATAAACCAAGTTTCAAATACGATGGTTCAAAATTAATTTCATGGTTAGCTGCTCAAATAAAACCAAGATATCATGTATCAGGATTAGAAGGAATTCATTATGAAAGACCTCCATATAGGTAAGTAGAAAGTATATCGATATGAAAGATATAGTTGGATTTATTAATTCAATGTATTATTGATCAGGAATCAAAGTCTCCAAGATGGAAATATTGAAATTGCGACAAGATTTATAGCTCTTGCACCTGTAATGAACAATCAAAAGAAAAAATGGTTGTATGCGCTAAATCTCACTCCTGTTGATAGAACTCGTTTGTCTGATTTAATAACAAAAACTACCGATGAAACAGAAAGCCCATATCCAAGATTAATGTTATCAAATGAGCCATCTCTAAAAATACTAGAACCAAAGCATACTCAGTTCTTTTACGATATGGAAGTTCAAGAAACTACCAAAAGATCCAAATCTTCTGAAGGTTTCCATAAGAGACCAAAACTAGAATTTGATCAAGCAAAGTGCTGGTTTTGTTTATCCAGCCCTGAAGTTTCTAAACATTTAGTAATATCAGTTGGAACAGAAATTTACGTTGCACTTGCTAGAGGTGGGTTAGTTGAAAATCATTTCTTAATTCTACCAATAACACATCATCAGAGCCTTTCTATATTACCAAAAGAAGTAAAAGAAGAAATGGATCAGTACAAAATTGCTATAACCAAATATTATGCCACTATGAATAAAGTACCTGTATTTTTTGAACGTAATTTTAAAACATCTCATTGCCAGTTGCAAGTAGTGCCAGTTCATGAAAATCAAGCACCAGCTTTGAAAGAAACATTTGAAGTAAATATTTTTATTATGATTACTTGCATATTCTAAGAATATATTGGTATTTACCTTAATAATGCTTCTATTTTAGGAAATGGCAGAGTGCAACAATTTTGAATTAACAGAATTACCTCCACACGCAGATTTGCAGCAAATTGCAAAACCAGGTGTTCTCTATTTTTATGTGGAATTGCCAGGTGGAGAAAAATTATATTATAGAATAAAAAGAGATTTTCCACTCCAATTTGGTAGGGAAGTATTAGCTTCAGATCGAATATTAGATCTTGATGATCGAAGTGATTGGAAAGATTGTCAATTAGGAGAAGAAGAAGAAACTGAATTGGCAAAACGAATTAGAGGAGAGTTCCAACCATTTGATTTAGATATTTAGAGACATAAAAATTCAATAAATTAATACTGTAATATATGTGTATATATATATATGTATATATCCATATACGACGTTTTTCGTAAAATATATAGAAATATTAATTTATTGTTTTACAAAAATAATAAATGGAGATATTATTATGATATATTATTTTCTGGGACTGCAGCTGGATCTAATCCACTCAGTTTCATTTGTAGGGCTATGTCAAATAGATAATCATAACATTCCGTCCTAAAATAAGAGATATCCAGTAGATTGAAATAAAAAGAAATCTTTAACACTAATACTAAATTAACACATACATAGTTTTTGCTTGTTGCCATGTATCACCCCAGACATAAACACCATGTCTTCTTACTAATACAGCACAAGTTTCTGGATAGGCAACTATTGTTCTATCCAATTCATCCTTTAAATCCTCCTCAAATGGAGTATTTTCTATTATTGGCACTATTAATTCTTCATTATAATTATATGCCCTTCCTAATTTTTGATTTTTTATACCTATATTATATAATGTTTACATATTTTCATGAATAAATAAAAGATTTTATATATTACGCATTTTACATATATATATATTATTCTCGTTTTATACCTTTTATCATTTCAAGATGAGTAACACGAAATTCATTCCCAGGCCAATGTAATGTCACCATTACTGCAAATTTGGAATGGGTATGGATTACAGCACCAGCATTTCTTCTTCTATATGCACACATAAATAATGGAGTGCATTGAGATTTTTTTAATTTTTTCTGTTCTAGTGGTAATTCTAAGTCATTTCCACTGATATCTTGTACAAACATTTCATCTGGACAAATGCGTTCTTTTTGTACACCAGATGGAGCAATATAAATTTTTTCTCTGCAAATGTAATGGTATTAGTTTATTAATATATTAAATTTAACATAATATGTCAATATTGCTAACTTGTATTTAATAGATATTCCACCACCAGTACCAGTGACCCATCCTAAATCGTAAAATTGTTTACATAATTCGGGAATTAAAATTCGTGGATGTTCCTGTAAAATAAAAAAGATGTTAAGGAAATATACTAATATATAATAATAATTGTTTTAAAATCTACCTTGTCGTACTCAATATTATTTAAAGACATTGTTAATAATTTCGGAGAACTTTGAACTAATTTCACGATGTTTTCCGTACAATCATTAAATTCTTATCAACTTTAATTTAATGATCACGATAACAACACGACATGTGTACGTGCATTAATACATATATACGCACTACTAAAGGCTAATGCGTATATTCGCACTACTAAAGCCTAATGCGTATATACGCAACTATTATAATCGGCTATAATATATGATATTTTAGTAGTATATTTTAGTAAATCATAAATTAATATAATTAAATGAAAACAATTTCATGTAAGCTCAGTTTTTCTTGATCATAATATGTATTTGTATAAGTTGTATTCGCATATAAATAATTTAGTCGATGTCGAATTGTCAAATGCGTAGTTGTGTCGTGACACACCCAGCTAAAATGTACATATAATTCGTAATATAAAATTAAACTGTATATTTTAAAAAATTGTAGTGTTAATCAATTAGATTAACGCTGGGAATAGAATATTAAATCATGTTTAGTGATTTTTTTAACTTCTCATACGCAAGATAATTGTATAACCTATAAATGTGTCAAATAACATGGCTTCTTGGATCACAGTCACACCGCGGTAATATTTAAATTTTTTAATTTTCTCAAACTAATTTGTTACAACTAGTACTATCTTTTTGAGAAAGTATTTACAGATAAAATTTTGTTACAAATTTTATGTGTTTGTTGTGTAATGTTTTCTAATCTAACATTGTATTTTTCAGACTTGAACAAGGTCTCAAAATAGCAAATCAAATAGACAGTAGTAAATTCCGTTTATTAATAAGTCGTATTTGTCAAACACTTCAATCCAATGTTAATACCAAAATATTCAATGAGGAAGAAGAAGAAAAACTGTTGATTTCGTTGGACTTAAATAAGGATGATTTAGTTTGTCTCTTAGATGCAGTAATATTAATTTATAAACAAGCTGCTTGCAACATTATAAAACCACAATTGATGGAAAGCTCGTTAAAAGACACTTTTAAAACAGATGATGATAAAGTTCAAATATTTATAAATGCATGGGTTACATATGGTAAAGGCATAATTGATCATTTTAGGCAAATGTCCATATTTCCAATTCAGGTATGTTACAATGACAAATCACTGATACGATCAATCATAAGGAATAATAACATCCCTTTAATGTTAATTTATGCTATTTTAGGTTAAAGATATTAACTGGTGTTTAAATATTCAGGCTGCATCCTCTACTATTAAAAAAGATGTGCGACCAATGGCGTTATTGCAATTAAATTTAACAGGAGAGGAAGAGTCTAAAGTAACAGTTGAATTTAATAAAAATGAGCTCATAGATCTGTATCAGAATCTAGAGAAAATTCAGTCACAATTGGATGCTTTTAAATAATATTTAAATGATTATTAACATACATAATTATAGTAAAAAATTTTGTATCGTATAAAATATATTTTCTGACTTTGTATATTTATTATTATATTTCATTTAGTATTATATATGTTATTAATATTTTTGAATCAGAAAAGATATAAGAAATATATATTTTTTTATAGAATTTATTTGCATTACAGATTAATTTTGATTGTATCGAATATTTAGATTTGATATCGTAGGGTTATCTTATATTCGAATATTTTCATACACCTTTGATGACTTTCTATATCTTTCATTGCGATCGTATAAATGTGGACTTCTATTAGGTAGGATGCTGTCGATATTTGTTAAATTTTGGTCATCTTGCTCAGAAATTTGTATATTTCCTTTCGTTGGATTTTCAGTATAGTGCTCGTTATTTAATTCCGAAGTCTGTTTCTTTTCTGACACATGAATTGTTTCTAAAACTCGTGATGACTTCCTGACAAATAAACGTGTTTTGCAAACTACTAAAACAACCATGATAATCATCAGGAATAGAATCAAAGTTGTCAGAGCACCTACTATCCATCCCAACTTTTCATCTAAAATATCAAATTCAAAGCAATTAGCCAAAACAATCATCCGAGGCTTCCATTAAAGGATATATATATATATATATATATATATTCACTTATAACTTTCACTAAGCGAACAGCACGATCTAATTCGCGCATAAACCTAACAATATACATACCAGCCAGACTATTCAACAGAACAAGTGACGCGCTTCCTAATTCTTCATCGGCATTTTCACTGGAAGTAGTGAATTTGCACGTCCATTGCCCTAAATCTGAATGATCTGGTTTAAATTCCAAAGTACATATACCTGTATTGTAATCCATCTGTATATTGTGCCTAAAAATGAGAAAAGAGAGAATGGGAAAAGAAAGAGGGAACAGTTAAAAAGATCTTCGTTAATCTCGTGTTAAGGAAAAAGTTACCTTTTGCTTCCAGTCATATTCTGATAGATATGGACTTTCGGCGCGTGGATCCAGTGGCATTGCACTTCTGACAGCTCGGTTTCTACTTTGCACGAAAGAGTGACCATTTGATGGGGCACAGCCCACAATGCCACAGTTACTGGTTCTAAAAATCATCAATCTTTTATGTAACAAGTGATTCGCTTTATATCCCAATCACCGAAAGCGTTGATGTCTCTTCTTCGGTGGTGCAGATTCTTCCGGAAACGAACATGTATCAATGCGTGTATAAGTATTCACACTGTGCACAAGCGAGTATCACATATGGCATATTCTTTGTTAGGATACAATGATAAGTGTGTGTCGATGTTTGAACAATGTTTGACGTGTAATGTGTGTTTATATGTAGCAAAGAGCGTGGTTACTTGAAATGATTCATCTGTGCACAGTCTATTGTACTTCCAGAAATATTAATCAGACGTATAAAACGTTGCTGCGTTTCCACCCCGATGGTACAAAACATGGATGTTCGGTGTACGTCTGTTAGTATCAAAGGCAATGGGAATGATAAATGCCGTAGTGACGTTTTCGTATTATCATTTATTTAAAGAAATGGTTTACAATGCCGGAGAGACTGACACTCAAGCGCGCACGGAAACGCACGACGATCCACCGATCACACCCCCGGTGCAGATTCTTCAATTGCTCGCGTTTGAAACTTAACAGTAACTCAATGGCACACGAAGGTATTAATTAGCTTCGAACGAGAGCGTTCTACGTTTGATTATTGCACGCGATGCGTATCGAGACCCGTGTTCAACTTAGGGTTGCTCGATCGACAACGTCGCAATCAGAATTCCCTCTTAATATCGATACCATTTGCGGATATCACTTTTGTGCCTTTAGTAAATTACAGTGATTCAAACGTAATTATTATTATTATTATTATTTTGTAGTGATAGCCGATCGAGTGACGGCAACGACAACGTTACATTGCCCGAAGCGTAGGTGAACATCTCAAACGGGACGCTTAACAGTAAGAATTGTCTACTTAGCGTTAATTTTAGCGTGTAGCTTGGATATAATGAGTATGCAGTAAGTGCGTATCGTATTATCTAATAAGGGGGAAAAAAAAGAAAGAAAAAAAAAAAAAAGAAAGGGATCTGTTTCATCATGGAGTTTTTGTAGTGTCATCGGTACGTTGATTTCTCGTTTAGCAACACGTTGGCCACGGACCAGCCAACCGATTCGTTAACGGTTCCGTGACGAGTCTAATCGTTATTAGCACACTGGAGTCTCTTAAACGACCTACTTCGCTTAACAAATAAATATTCTTAGCCTTAAATGTTAAAACTTCCTACGTGTAGTCTTTTTTTTTTTAAATAATTACTAGCTAATGCGTCTCGGAACCAACGTTACGTATGAAAACGAACGAGTAGCACGAACGCTTTTTCCCTGGTTACTTGCAGCAGGGCAATTAGAAGAATTGTTCTGCTGTTCGTCAAAACGTCTTGAATTAATCAGCGTTGCTTTGAAAAAACTTCCGAGCCCATCGAGTGATCCATTAAGAAAAAGAAAGAAGAGGAAAAAAGAAGAGAAAGAGAAAGAAAAGGAAGGTGAAAGGTCGAAGGGAAGAATCTCGAATCGACCATTCAACGATCCATAAGTCAGCGAAGTTCCGAAGTTCCGAAGTTCCGAAGTTCGATGGTGAGCGTTTTTTCAAAGCTCGAGCACTTTCCCTGTCAATAGTGACTTTCGACAATAAATAATACGAGGAATGACAATAAATGTAGCCAGAGTGCTCGCGAAAAGGCTTACACATACAATACGGTTTCGCGTACCTACTAACGCGGCTACTAACTATGCTAAATGCGAAATCATTTGAGCGTAGACCTGCCGTTGAGCATATAAATAAGAAAGGGTGAATGACATTGAGTGATAGATGTTATTTAACGAGAGAGGTGCGCTTCTTAAGCGTGCGAACGACGGGGATAAAAAAACATTACGCTTGAAATATAGTTTAGCGAGCACAGAAACATGCTGCGTATATGCTTGACAAATAAGATAGAGAATTTAATAGTGCGGATGAAATAATTGTTATTGATGGAGCAATCTTGCTGGACATGTTATTTAGCGTCGTTTTTTCAACGATACAAGTGTCTCGTGAGAAAAACGAACGCCATTATTAATCGCTCGTTAATTGCCGGGCTTCGGCTAGCCCCTGGGCACAACGATCTAATAAATCTTCGGGCAGATTTACCAAGGAATTGCGAGGGGAAACAATAACGGATGAGGCCAAACAACGATAAATTAGGAGGATCTAATGCTAATCGATGGAAATGCGATCGAATGAGAAACGTAGGGTAACAGCACGATAGGTAACCAGCGAGGAATCTCGTCGCTGTTCTCAAACGCGACAACAGGTTCCTCGCAAGAAAGAAGGAAAGAAAATGCGCAAATGAGGATGTCGTTTAAAAATAATGCTGCTGACAAAAGAAACGGACGTATTTTGCCTGCGTGTCTACCTCTTTTACAATATGTACGTGATCTATGAGTAATTGTTAAGTCATACAGAGAGGTAGACATCGGTATGAAACTTGAAACGTCATACGGATTCCATCACCACCGCGATGCCTTCACCCACAACAGTCTTCGGAGAACTTAGACGCGATCGATTCCTCGTCTACGATACCAAGATTGATGATCGTTAGTTTCGTTCCTGCCACGAATTCCTTTAATCGTGCCTGCGCAGCCTTCAATTCTACACTCTAAGACTTTAACGATACATATGACAGCGCGATCGACTTTGCCTCACGCTTTGAAAGATAGTCACTGTTTTCCGTGTGTTTTCCCAACTGACATTCTTCCAAACGATATCGATCACAACTACTAATGTTTGTTATACGATACATCATGTATACATTGCAGTGGATGAGTCACCTGGCGCCCAAGTATCCGGGTATTTTGCAAGACACGGATGTTTGCCTGGAAAACAGCGTCGAACAGTCCTTCCCTTTTACCTGACTCTACGTTTTTCATATATCTACATAGAGGAAAAAAAAGTGTGAGCGGAATGTTAATTCAGAATTGTTCCTGCGAGATCTTCGTCTAACGCAACGAAGGAAAACAAGGCGAAGAGTATGCAAAGATACGCATCAGCGTACCGTCAGAACGATCGTTAATATTATGGTTTCGTAAGAGATACATCTCGGTGACGATCGTCGTTGATTCTCCCTCGACAAAGACCGTCATTTAAACAACGAAGCAGATTCGACCTTGCTCAACAACACGTTCGTCTATTACGTCCGCCTGTTCGCAGCCTCGAAGAGCAAATTACGGGTTTGTCGAGACGAGGAATCTCTTTCGACGACCGTTTTCCGGCATCCCGAGCACTTCCTGCGACCGTCTACTTCGAGCTGATCGACTCATCCGTATTTTGCTAATATATACATAATATACGCTCATGCTATACACTGTCGGGATCTATGGCCGATCGACGACCACGCCTCGATTCGTTGCTGCGAATATCGCGAGGCGAATGGGTCGACCACAGATCCGTGGATCGATGACCGATTACTTTTTGTACACCCTCACCCGTGAAAGGAAAGGAATGTCGCGAATCCGTTTCAAGATTCTATGATACCTGGTTCCAAGAGGCTCAGCTTGGCTGGAGGCGCGTCCGTGTAGTTCTGTCTGCCGCGTACCCTGGCGCCACAGGTCCACAGTCCTTCCTGTTCCGCTAGCGCGTGCGTCAGCCTCACGCTGCAGTCCCTGGCCTCGCTTCCGGCTGCCGGAAATTGCTTCACCACTACCGTGGTGTTCGAGTTCACCGGCGTCAGGGACCATCGACATTGTTCCACGGCCGAGGAGGTCACGCAATGAAGGAAAACGCTTCCACCGGCTGATATCTGGATGTCTTGAGACAGTTCTGAGAATTTCACCTCGTCTGGAAGCGAACGATACTGGGAATCAGTCGAGGAAGAGAGAGAACACTCGTTGGAAATATAACGCGTTGCTAGAGACGCTTGGAAAATCTGGACACGATGGAGGACGAAGGTGAGAACGACGAAATTAAAGATACCTTGCTCGAACACCGTGAGCTTGACGAACGGCGAGGTCAGCATCGTGTTGAGGGAACTGATCGACACTTGACAGGCCCACTGACCCTGTTTTTCGGCATATACCCTCGGCAGCGTAAGCGAACAGTCTCTACCAAGGTCGCCATTGCTCGGGTATTCCTGAGCCACGATCTCCGGCTCGTTTCCGTGAAGCGGTTTCCAGGTCCACGTACACTTCTCCACGCGGCTGCTCGTTACGCATTTCAACGTGGCCTCCGTACCAATCGGTACGGAAGTGTCCGTCGGCATTTCAACGAAGCTGACTTTGGCTGAAACAGGGACCGAGACAAATTGACCGATTAAAAGCACGTTTTCACGGGTAAACGTGCGAGGAAGTCGTGCATCGCCTGATAATTCCGCGTTTCATTGAATTTTCAAGAATAATTGCCTATCCAGCGATTGGAAAAAGAAGCGTGCATCTAAGTCCTTCGAAACTTTGGTCATTTAGACATTTGTACCTGTGGGTAGCAGGCTAACAGTCGCAGGTGGCGCTTCGTGAAGAATTCCATCGGGTGACAATCGAACGCCACAGGTCCACAGTCCTTCCTCCTCGTACAGGACGTTCTTGAATCTCACTGAACAGTCGTGATCGGCGTCTTTGTTAGGATTAAACTTCTTCACTAATAGAGGCTCGTGACTCGAGTTGGAAGATCTCCAGGACCATTCGCATTGCACCACTGGCTTGTTCACCAGGCATCTCAGCAGCACGGACTCCCCAGACGCTACTTGGATTCCTCTAGACAACTGTACGAATTCGACTGAAAAACGGAACGAACGTTTTCACGAGAGTTGACGAGAGTCACGGAAAAAACGATGTTTAAATGAGAATGAAAAATTTCATGAAAATCTCGCGCTACCCTCACCTCCCGAAATGAGAAATCGGATGGGATTCGACTGCGTGAACGAGGAATTCGGGTCGATTCTGGCTCCGCAGGTCCAGTATCCTTCTTGCTCCGGCAACACGTTCTTGAACTTAATGCTGCAGTCGGTGCTATCGTTGCCGAAAGCTGGAAATCGTTTCACCTCAAGGTTCCACGGCTGCGATTGGTTCAACTGCCGCCAGGACCATTGACATTCACGGACAGGTGATTTCATCTGGCACATTATTTGCGCCGAAGATCCTGCTGGTACCTCGACCACGTTGTCGAGCTTGGCAAACACGATCAGGGGACCTAGACATTTACGAATGTTAATGCTCGCCTCGGTTTTTCTTCGGTCTGTGAATCGCGATCGATAGACGAGTTTTCGGGGGAGGAAAACGAACGCGATTGATCGTTGATTTAGCAGAACAGGAGAAACAATCAACATTCCTTACTCTGGTGCTCATTAACGATGCTCAGCTTAGCGGGTTCCGTGCTGGTGAAAGGATCATTCGTGGAAGTTCTCGCGGCGCAGGTCCAGTATCCGGTCTGCTCGTGCTTCGTACTCGAGAATCTTACGGAACAGTCGTTGCTATTGTTCCCGAAGGCAGGAAATTGTCGTACCGGCAGCGGATTGGTAGTCGGCGTGGTTGTCGTCTGAATCACCGAGACCGTGGTGGCTATAAATTACGAGAGAACTCCGATAAATACTCGACACACGAATGCCGTGGAAAACAACAGAGCTGTAACGAAAGCTTGACTCATCACCGAGATCGTCGTAATCGAAACAAATAGAGGGCCCCGGCAAACATTCCTTTAATCGCAGAATCAACACGTAGATAAACTCTCTTCTCAGGATACGTCCTGCTTACGAATATTCCACTTGTATTCGTTACGACTGATCCAAATTTCGATGGAAAATTAACGCAACAGCGATTATACATCGTATGAAAGACTAACTGGTCGCTGGGGTTTCGCTGATGTCCGGAAGTGGCAGGTGAACCGGTGGCAAAGGTTGCCAGGACCATTGGCACTCGGCCACAGGATTAGCGGTTCTGCATGCTAGAAGCACCGACGAACCGAGTTCCGTTTCCGTGTGTTCCGGAACGTCCACGAATGTCACCGGATCCGGTGGAGCTTTGGTTCCTGGCAGGATATCGTCCATCGAGTGTCCCTGGATTTCGGGATCAACGGAAACCGTGCTGATCGCCGTCGCGTTGACCGTGGTAGCCTCATCAGTCTCTTCTGGCACGGGTACACCTATCGACAGATTATCGGCATGGAAATCGTGATGAAATTCGACGAAACCCGGAATTCCCGGGCTTTTCGTTGGTCTAACGTCTCGTTTGAAACGTGTCCGGCAAGATGGTGGAAAGGGAAAGTGAAATATCAAAATGGCCCGTTTGAACATGGCCTCACGCGTTGCCAGACGTGCTCGAAAATTCCACAAATATTTTGAATGCCACGACGACTGCGTATCAATAACGCGATCACGTTTCTCCAAATTGCCAACTGGTCTCACATACGGGAGTTCCTCGAGATATCGCGGAACGGAAGGATTTATGGAACAACGTTATCGGAATTTGATTATTCATTTTCGGGCAACGTTTCCCCGAGTCTCGACGACTTTGTCATACGCCTGGCATTATTTAAAGAAGCTTAGTCACCCGGTGGACGAGGAGGTGGATCTTTATCGTTTAATCTTCGAAGACGTGTTTGATCCTGGCACGTGGAGTTTCTGCGAATTTGCAGAGAGGAGAAACGGAAATCGGACAGGCTCCGCGTTACGACCAACGACACCATGATCCGAAGGAACTCGGCTGAACATATATGTAGGACACATCGGACAGGAAGCTACGACAGTCACGTAGACAATCGCCTTGCGTCGCGCGTCTGTCGCCATGTGCAAATAGAACCAGGGACGGATCGATAATAAAATATTTGTCAAACGGGGGGAACCACGAGGAATTAGCGTTGTAAAACGTCGGCTCGATACCCCGCGAGCGGAATACCAAATCGGCCATTCTGTAACGCGTTCCACGATTTCATACGCGACCCATCGAATTTCGATAATTCCTCCGTTTCCCATTCCCCTATCGCTTTCTTTTCCATTTTCTCTTCGAGTTTCACCTAGCAATTGTTCTCCCTAATCTCCACGGTATCGCCGGAATCTTCTAATTGAAGAAGAAACCGCGGTTAAAAGGCTGGAAAGGAGGACTCCAGACGTAAAAATCCGCGCGAGCCGTCTCGAAATAGCGTTCACGGCTCTCGTATCGTCGTAATTGTATCGAAAGTCGGCCATTTTTGACCGTTCAACGATCACGGACGAATTTCTCTGAATGAAAGAGCCACCGTGTGCACCGTTCCACACTTTCTACGTGGCCACGGTATGTAACACGCGTCCGTGCCGAACTTGGTCCTTGGTATCGTCTCGTTACGTTCGCCATGCGGCGAGCTCGTCCTCAAGACGAGCAACGGTGGTCGCTGACACTGGAAGGTCGTTTCCCACTTTGCATTGACATACTCATCGGCTGCGCGGTTTTACGACGATACGTGTTGCCCCGGCACACCGGTAGCAGGCAATATAACCGCGCTGCATCCGCGACGTATAAACTCGGCGATTTATGGCCGACGTCGGCCTAGGGTAGTCGCGAAATCGCCTTCTCTCTGCGCCGATGACGATGACGATTCGAATGGCTTACGTGGTTACGTCACGTCGCGTAGTTCGTAATGGTTATTATCGCTCCGCGAGTTCGAGCATATCTCGCCAACGAAAGCGGACTGCACCGAAAATATCGCGTAGAAACGGTGCCCTATTTAACATTGCCGGTAAAATCCGTGCAAGTTGCTGACGTGGGCCTGTAATTTCAGCCTAAGAGGGGTAATAAACGAAATTTTTGTGGAAAAACTTTCTCCCCGAATAACCGTGATTTCCATACAATGGATTATTAAGTCATAGCTTCCTCGTTTCCTGCGAGTATTTAGGCTCGTTTTATGCGTCTCAAAGTATGGCTCGAAGCCGTGACACGTTCAGCCGGCATCCTTCGCCGTTTGACTCGACGGCAGTGAACCGTGAGAATCGTTGCATAAGGTAGTATCGTGTGTGCAGGTGTTACCATCTGATACAATATTAATAAACGCAACGTGGCTGAGTTTCGGACAAACTATCACGCCTAGCTTTTAACATAATTAGTCAAATGACTTTGTAAGTTTACCGTTACAAGGAAAGAGCAAAGGGGCTTCGCGTATCGCGATGATCGTCAAGGATGACCGTGGTGGCGGTGCAACGACGAACCTCGAGCGAAAGAGCGAGGAAGAAAGGAAAAGGAAGATCGGTCGCGATCCAGCAGCATCTAAGTCACGGCGTACTCATTCAGCCAGTCCAAGGCCACCGTTTACTTTCTTCGTACTTTCTTACTTTCTTCATCGCGTCCTTGATACCGCGCCACGTAATTTTCGACCGTTGGCCGATCGCTATACGCCGTCGTCGTGGTCGTGTTCCTTGGGTCACAGATGCATCGATACCCAGCGATTCGAACCGCAAAATCGATATTTTCAGACAAAACCATTCCCTGGATTTGCCATTCCGTCACGCGAGAGGCGGCTTTTCGTGGATCGATTAGCGGTTTAACGGTCGATCGGCCGCAGGAGGTCGGCTGCCGATTAAAACATCGGCATTTGGAGAATTCGAGCTGGCCCAGGTACGTCCCGGATGTATCTTCGCAGGTCTCGCCGTGACTAATTCCACAACAATGGAATCCCATCCCGAGATTATCGACCGTAAGACAAGGCCAGCCGTTTCTTGCGGCGAGGAGCGGCCACGAGAGGCGAGAGGGAGAGAGAAAAACGAGGATTCGACCGCGTCGAAGAGGATTTCGTTCCGTAATTAAGAACGAGCCGATGGACGCGCAACCACGGTCGTTAACCTGCCGTCGATGTCTCCGGGGGGACAATTAGAGAGACCAGGCCGATTTCTTTTCCCACGTAGAGACGTTGTGAAACTCAAAATACGTCCGCTGGGCGTTGCCATTTTGTCGAGCTTTCCGCCATTGGAAACGAGACGGAGATCTCGTTGCAGAGTTCCAGCCGGAGTTCCTTCGAACGACGACGATGATTGGACGATGAGTCAGAGAAACTGAATTTTGGAAAGTATTTAGAAAACACCTGGTACATTTATGGATATCGGTGACACATGGAAACTGCCTCGACGTTCTCCAAGAATGCGCAAGCTCCACGCGTGTTTAGCAATATTTGGTTAGCATTTTTCGCCCATGTGTACTCACTCGAACGCGCGTGTTTGCCGCAGGATTTCGAGAAACCATCCTTCGCGGAACGGTCGCTTCGTGGATAATCGCTCGACGTAATCTCGGATATTCCCGATAAACTTCCGAACCGATTGTCGCGCCTTTCCACATACGCGCATATTTTCCCGATAGCCTAATCCGCTTAATCGTTCCTGACGCGAGGTCAGTCACTAATCACTATCCGCGAGTTTTCCTCTCAGTCCTTGTTCCAGGTATCGCGCTTTTCCGTGCGCGTACCGATTCGTGCCACGGTATCCGGGGAATACCGCATCGAGCTCTCGGTTTCTCTCGCCGAGCAAAGTCACACGCGTGCGTAATTCTTCCGCGGAGAATTCCGGATAATAGATCACCGAAACGGAGGAAACGAAACGTGAGCGCGATTAGAGCAATATAATCGTCGCAAGGCTCGTTAATTGTCGGCGGAAGCGAGCCACTTTGCTCTTTTAGACGCTCGCAACGTGTCTTATCTGGCCTGCGTAATTCAACGCACGGGAATGAAGCGAGCGTTGTTATACGAGCGGCGAGTTATCGCGCTCGGCGAAAAACGGAGGAAGGATGGCTTTAAACCGTTCCTTCCTTCGCGTTTCCGTTTTTCGCGCGAGCCACGGTGACGTTAGTTTCATTTTCCAGAAACCCTTTCCATTCCCGACGACGAGGAGTGGAAGCAATACCGTTCGAGGAAACGATTGCCACGGTTAGGTTTCCTGGAAAGGTTCCGAACGCGTCCTCAAACCGATTCGAACAGCGACCCAATGGGAAAAGCGTCCACTCGAGATCCGCGAGGTTAAGTAGGTAGAGCGATGGATTAATCGGAGGAAAGACGAGTACTGGTTTGGCGAATTAATCGGTTATGAAAGAATGCGATTATTTCTCCGTTCGAATTCTCCCGGGCTTCCACGTGCTCTAGAGCGGCACGTTAATGCGGCGGGATCTCGATTAACCGGCTTAATCGGCGCCGAGGCAGACCGGTTAAATCGAGACCCGTGCAGATCAAATTACTTTAATCTACTTTATGTACGTCTCCTTACGAACGCGAACATATCGTTTATGCATTGTACCGAGATCGTACTTAGAGGTACTTCTGCGAGCTTCCAACCTCCATTGTTTCGACAAATTGAACCGAGAACCTTGGAAGCTCGAGTAATCGACGATCGAGTGCTCGATGAATCCCAAAAAGATCGAGCAACGACGTCGAATTTTCGGTCCATCGAAATTGTCCATCAGCCGTTTCTCGTCCGCGAGCATACTCGTATTTTTCGCTCGCCGCGCGTTTCTCACGGGCAATTCTATCTATTGTTCGTATCTCGCGCTGCTTCTCGAGAAGTATTACGAAACCGGTATCAGCTCGGCGAGCCTACGTGTTCGATCGGTTGACGTTGCGTCGCGGCGGGAACGATCGACGATCTCGTTCGCGGAATACTCGCCGATTGCATTTTCCGTGCATTTTCCATCATGCGAGACGGAGGCGTTGTCCTTGGCACGGAACAACCCCGGAAACCCCAACGAACCGCACTTCCGTTTTCTCGCCGCGGCGCAGTGGCTCGTGACCGCGCCGAGAGGGAAATATCGGTCCCGCGCTGGGCCCCTTGTCTTCGCCTTGTTTTCAGAAGCTGCGTAAACGCAGCGCGGAAGTTCGGTATCGGATCGGGCGGATAAAAATTCCACGACCGGTTGGTAACGCTGTGTTTTCCTGGCGCCCGCTCGTCCATGCGTTTTCGACGCGCGGCCAACGCGAAGAGGGAAGGCGAGGAATTCCGTAAACGGCGAGGCGTACACGCCTGACGAGAGAATTCTCGCGAGCGTGTCAAGGATACGCGAGAACGCGCTTCATCTCCGAGCATTTTGAACCGGTGTTATAGTTCGCGAGAATTCCACCGCCATTTTTCGATGGCAGTTGGGCTAAACTACGTCGTTTGCAAATTACGATTTAACGGGATAATAGAATTCACCGAAGCAAATTCGAGGATCTGGTAGCTCTATGATCTAAATCCACTATGGGAACACAATTCTAACGAACAAAGAGAAAGTCATGAATTATTGCGGTCCTGATACCGACACCATTCCTAGTCTGAAACTTAACCCGTTTCGATTATTAATCAAAGATCGTTCCAGCGTGTTCTTTACATACGACTAGTTTGCCTAATTTATCCACGTGCAATTATTATACGTTCCCTATCCGAAATAATTCCCATTGCAACCGCTGTGCATCGAGGTCCGAGGGACGGACGCGTGAATCGCATTCGCGGAGGACTCCTCGCATAACGCGATACGAGTACGAGAACGTAGAAAAGGAAGATCTGCGAACGATCCGAAATAGACGAGCAGTTACGTAAAATCCGTGGAAAGAGGCTAGCTCGACGAGGAGCGAAACGAGCGTGTCCATGGAACGCATAAAATTCAGCGGCGTGGATCGTAACGCAAGAATCGTACGATAGTTCCCATGCAGGTTCCTACCCTTCCCCACGTGTTTGCATTCCAGAGCGATGTTTCACTAAATGCACGCATTGCATCGAGTTTAACCACCCTCCGCAGAAGAACCAGTTCTTTCGGGCCGAGAGCACGCCGCTCCTCGGCCAGGCCACGAATGCTTTACGAGAAGGCGTCGAAAAACGATCGACAAAAATCCACCGCCGCCGAAACTCGCCGATACTAGATCCTATCCACCTGCGACCGATCCATATTAACGTCCATTAAACATCTTGGACGAGAAATCGATCCTCGTTATCAATTATCGCCGGACGGACCGGCTGCTCTCTCGCTCCTCGTATTTACTTCTCCTTTTCTTTACTTCTCTTTACTTCTCATTATTCGTCTTCGCTTCTCTCCTTCGTCTTTGCGTTTCCTCCGATTTTTCTGCTGGAAAATATTTTTTCTCCTTAATAGGTTTTACGAGCTATACCAGTGAGAGATCCGTCTACGGTTAATTTCGTGGCTGTATCGGTAGTCGGACATTTGCAGGGGACATTACGCGTTAAAAGGCGATTAATTTTCTTTCCTTTTATTTTTTTACGTCGCACGATAATGACTGGACGCGATGATTACACGGAGGAGAGTATTTCCAACGAGTAAACGAACGGGCTCTTCTTTCTTCGGTGATTCACGGTGCATGGTCCAAGATCGTCTCGAGTTCTTTACGCTCGATCGCTTCGATTTGCATCGCTCCCAGTAGCGAACGTGGTCGAGATGCAAACCTCTTCACGGGAACTTGGTAACTGTGTTATTGGATTCCTTCTTATCGCGCTTATAATATCTCGCGTTCCTTTACAAATTTTCCACCGTCCCGACTAGAAGAATTCGCGGACTCGTGGCAACGCGCCTGTATGCTAATCTTCCTCCCGGTAAACACGAACGCCACACCATCGACATGAATGAATATCTTACAACCATCCGTTCCAAACTGTTCTACAAACTGACTCAAGTTCACATACCAGAGCAGGCCCCACAAACCCAGGAACAGGGTCAGCTATGACGTACATCGTACACTGCCCGGAATAATTAGAAGATCCAGCTATCCAAATCAAGCGATCCACGTTTAAAACCCAGCTCGTGGCACGCTGTTACCCAAATAAAACAGTTCGCAGAGCGTACTTGGTCCCGACGTTTCATTCATTCCTCCGATATCGCCGCAACTTCTCGGACCAACTCGTATTACGCGTTCAGGACTCGATCCTGCGGAGTCCTCTGCGTGGAAGCTCGGCGACGGCGTCGGTCTCCGTGCAACTCGGTCGATTGCATCTCTAATTCCATCCGAGTCAGGAGTGTCGCAACGGCAAAGAGTGGACGATAGCAGGCGATGGCCAGCGTCTCGCTCTGATTACGCGAGCGAACGTTGCAGCGAGCGTGGCAGCGAGCGCTGCGAGCTCGAGATGCTCGCGGTTTCGCGAGCGTTTCGCGACAGGCGAAAATCGCCGAACGTCTGGTTATTCGGGCGAGACACGCGACACGGCCGACGAAAGTGAATCGAACCCGTTAACACGGATTTTTCGCCTGGCCAGACGACCGCGTGGCGCACGTGCCCCGTTTTTAATGGAACTCGTCGCGACCGGCGCGAACGTGGAAAGAGAAACGGTGGTCCCGAAAACGGCGGCAGGGGAGTTTGTTCATCACCTTGAGAGTCGGTTTCACTGTCAAGGTACCAACCGTCGAAGAATCGGTTTCCGCGCGGTTTCGAGTTCTCGTTTTCGAGTTCGGGGTACCGCTCGAGAGACGCTGGAAGGGAGCTTGGGTAATTTGGGCCTCGCGTGAGAGCCGAGGCAAAGATTTTCGGGTTCCATCGAATATTGGCATCGTTGGCGAGCGCATCGCGTGGTAGTCGTGGTGCAGGATCGAGAGAGGAGAGTGACCGAGAACGGCAAACGTAAATCGTTTATGGGTTGTAGGTCGAAACGAGCTTGGACGTTGGATCGATAGCGAAATATTACGCGCGAGTGACAGCAAGAACCAATGCCCTCGCTCTGGTCATTTGGAATGCAACCTCGGTGATGGCACTCAAAGGCTACGAGGCCCTTGTCGAGGTTAAGGCCTTCGAAGTCGTAAAAATGACGGCTAGCAGCATATTAATTCGGCGTTATTACGCTATTCGTAATCTCGATTCCCGATAAATCCCTGTCGCCGCGCGGTCACATTAATCGGTAGCCGCTCGTCTGTCGTGCGCGTAACGCTTATCCATGGTAATTCCATTGTTCCCCGATAATTCGCGGATCTTTTCCGGTAGCAATTTGACGCGCAGATTTGAATACGTCGGGAAGCCAGCCGACGATGAGCACGCGCGAAACTATTTAATCTTGTACAAACATTTACGTCACGCGGTGTGTTTTTAAAACTATCATCGTGGAAAAGTGAAACGCGTGTAATTTATGTGTCGATAAAACGTCGCCTCGTCAACGTGGAATATTTCCAATCGTCTACCTTCGCGTATCGCGATTTATTCCGAGTAACGTTTCCCGAATTAATCGCGCATGCGAAACCCTTAAACGTAAAACCCCCCGTGCCGACTCGTCCGGGCGTCGCACCACGAAGTCGAGAAGCATCGAACCTCCGGTCGTTTCTTTTCTCGAATAAACGACCGACGAAACGACCCGCTGTAATTTCGATGCACGAGAATGACGCACGAACGAACAATAGCAGAAGGTAGCAGCGGAATGTGTACTCACCGTTGCACGCGACGACCAGGCACAGCAGGACCAGCCGGGTGGTCATTTTGGAGAACGCGGAGGACGTCATCTCCGGCACCGCATTTATCACCGTGTGTCCTTGAAAGAGGATCGAAGCCCCGTGTCTCGCAGGAGCGATCGAGCCCGTCGTTACGCACGTGTACTGTCGTCGAAGCGTATGGTCGCGTGCGATTTGTACCCGCACGACGATGACGCATGTAAAACCCCCTCCGTGTCGCCGTTTTACGACCGTGTAAACGTTCGCTCCTCCGACGTAACAACGTCTTCGACTTCTACCCTGCACTTTTCTCTCTTCGTCCACGAACCGTCCCCTAGATCTTCCTCCTTGCCACGCGATCGAGATCACCGCGCGTCGCCTGTAATCTTTCCTCCTCCACCTAGATTTCCACGCCCTGGTTCGCCCGGATTACCACCATCCGACGATCCACCGACGCGAGATGCTTCTCTTCCTTCGCTTCCACCTCGTCGCTTCTGGTCCCTTTCTCTAGATCGAAGAAGGAGTCTATTAACGTTGGGAAAATACGGGTGAACGACGAAAGGGGATCGATACGGGTCGATTTGATAACCGGAAGGATGGTCGTCCGTGGAAAGTACTTGACCTTCTTGGATCGCGCGGAAGGGAACGGTGCCGAGAGCACGGGAGAAACCGGTGTGACGCGAGGTGGCCAGGAAATTTTTGTCGAGCTACCTGGCCGCCGCTCGCTCGCTAATTTATGACGTAGTTCCGTTATTGCAACGTGACGTTGATCCGTACGAGCAACCTCCAGCTGGCCCCAAGATAACCGTGATTTATCGTTCCTACCGATTCGTGAATGGAAACGAACGTGACGCCGATACGACGATCTTTTTATCCGACGATCGCCCCCCGATCGCTATGGCGGTCGTTCGCCACTCTTCTGGGGCGCAGTTCCTCGCGATTCCCTTCGGTCGTTCGCGTTCGTTTCGAAATCATAGGACGAAAATTACGCGGAGGAAATGGGAGGAAGGTCGGGGTACGCGATGCCTTCGAAACGATGGCGACGTTGACGGTGTTACGTGCACGGCCATGTACCGGCAGATTATCTTGTGTTTACAGTTGGAAGAACGTTGCTTTAAATAGCGCCGATGAAATATCGATTATTATTAGTGAAAATAATAACAGCGCGATAATAATCGTCTCGGATCGATGCGCGCGGGTATGGATTAACCCGCAGAACTTTTCTAAACGTACGATTTATGGGAACAGGACACGGTTGCAGAGACCTCGACGAAAATGTGCGACAAACGTGCAGGCAAACTCGCACGCGTTCGAGAGATCGAACGAGCGGAACGCGGCTCGCGGCGATCGTTTTAGATATCGAGCAACGTTGACTCATGTCTTCGACGAGGCAGGAATAAAAAACAGCGTCTGAGCGTCGATCAATGAACGTCTACGATCGACGATCTAAGCCAGGTCGAGCACGAGGTGAACGAACAGAGCGTTCCTCGAGTTCGCCGCGACGCCCGAGCTCCCTCACGGGAGAAACTCTGTCTCTCTTGCGATTTGCTCTTCGCTATGTAGCAAGCACGACGAAAGAGAGCTCCAGGAGAGTTTTTCTCTCGCGAAATCACCGCACGACGATTCACCGGGACGCGAAAGGACGCGCGAGAGGGGACGGCGGGCAGCGCGGAGCGGAAAAATCGGCGAGGTTGGAGCGACACCGCGACACGCGCGCGTTGCCGCGTCGCGAGCAATTACGCTTCCAATATGTCAAAGTTATTCGTGCATGAAGTAACACCGCGTCGTCGAATATGTGTCGCGGCAATTACCATATAATGGGGCGCACGGGATCGCGAAATAATCGGCCCCCGCTAAAAATAACGATTTAAGAAAGCGGCGAAGCGAGCGCGCGGGCAAGGAGCGAGCGTGCGAGCGAAGCAGCGAGCGCGCCCGTATTTCCTTGAACTTTCCGCGAACGCGAGTAACGGAATCGGTCGGGTGATTCACCGTGTCTACGAAAATATGGAAAGCCTGTGGCCGAAGCCGGAGCGTCGGGGGGTGTGCCGCGATCGGAAAATCGCCGAGCGATCGGTCGCGATTTCCCGCGCGCTCGCATGCGCGCAGGCGCTCGCGCGGGGAACATCCTACGCAAATAGAAAGGCAAAAAGTCGAGGAATATTTCGAAAGTCAGACAGAAGAGCGTGTGCGCGTCGCGAATATATCGCTTTCCCTCCGAATTGTTCGCGTTTCGCGGAATCGGCGAGAGAGTCTACGGAACACGGCACTCGCTGCTACCGATCCATCGATTCCACCGACCAGATCGACGTACCCTTCCGTTTTCGTTTTTGTCGCACCTTCCTCCCGTGGCTCACTCTCTCACTCTCTCTCTCTCTCTCTCTCTCTCTCTCTCTTTCTCTCTCTCTTTCTCGGTCTCCCTCTTTCTCTACAGTGGTCTCGAACGGCACCAGGAATCCTTGCTCGCGCACCGAATTCACACGGGATTTACTCACTGTCACTGCGGATACCCCTCCTTCCGAGAGTACCCTCACTGTGCCCGAATCACTCGTGGAAGAGTCATCGACGTGGACGCACGGGTGAAACGCGTGTGCGGGGAGACCGGTCGATCGGTTCGCTCCAGGCCTTCCCAATTCCGATCGCGCCACTCAGCAGCAGACACACACGCACGGTCGACGCACGCTCCTGTGTGTTCGCGCGTGTGCGCGCGCGCGTCCGTGCGTGAAAAAGAGAAAGAAGGAGAAAGAGAAATAGAATTCCGATCGTTCTCGTCCAGTCGGCTTCGTGGCACCTGTGACTCACTATCGTAACGCGCGTATTATCCTTCGGCAGCGTAGCGGCGACGACGACGACGATGGGGAAAACGGCCGCGTCGAATTGGCAGAGGGAAATTGGCCGGGAATCCCCTGGAACTGAATACGGTCGCGTGCTCGACGGTGAGCGCCGTGGCCGACTGCAACAACTGCAGACGCTAGGACGGATGATGGTCGCCGGTCGGCGTCGTTGTCGTTGTCGGTATATCGGTGTCGAGCCGTCGTATATGCGCCTCCGACTTGGGAACGCGCAAGTGGGGGTCCAATGTTACCAGGGTACGCAACGACGCCAGGGGCCCCTACCAGAGGCCGCCGCCGAGACTCGTCACCCGTAACTCCACCTTCCACCTCCCACCTGACTCGGCCGCTCATGGGGAAACGCTCCGGGCTCCCTGCCGCGATCAGGTGTATCCGGGGAATTGTTTCGACGCACCCTTTCGCCGGCGACGCTGCTCTCGCCAAGGGACCGGGCTGCGTCGTCGCCGATTGGAATGTTGCAGCGTTCGCCGCGGAGCAGGGTTTTGCGCTTCTGCCGCCGTCCCGGAGTACGTGCTTTCGCTGACAAAACAGGTACAGGACGAGACAGGGGTATAGGGATACGGGCGTGACACTAGGAATCGGGATTCGTTTAGTCCGGGATCGCGTTGCTAACCGGGGATCGCTGTCGTGTCTCGGTTCCTCCTTGTCTGTCGCGTGGATAATTCTGCAGCGGATCCGCTGCTTATTCCAGGGGTAGCTTTCCACGTCGCTCGGCGTCACGGAAGTCTAATTAATTCCCTTCTCCAAACGGCTGCAATTTTCCGGCAAACTTTGATTTATAATCGAGCAAACTCCACGCGGAAACGTACCTCGCGCGGATCGCAGGAAGGATGCTCGTACGACCGTGTACGAGTATGAAGCAGGCAATTAAAGTAACGACCGAAATCTGTTTCGCCTACTCGGGGACTTGTAATTGCCCTATCGTGACTTGCCGAGTCGTCGTTACGTCTGAAGCGATCGTTAGCCGAAACTTCGATCTACCGCCAGCGAAACTAAGTTCCCCGGGACTGTTTCAGTGGGTCGCGCGATTAACCATCGCGTTCCCGAAGTGTACGGGGGAACCGGTATGGAATTTAGCCACGGACGAGAGACACGAATCGTAAATGGCCGGCGGTTCGACTCGAATGCTCGCAAAGTGATACGCGCTGGTACCGGAAACCCGCGAAACGAATAGTCCGCATAATTACGCGCGGTTACCTCTGCCCCTGGGTCGATAATTTCATCGGGCTTATCGGTGTCATCGGAGACGCGAGGCTTTATCGCGGTGGTTGGCGAACTACGCGTACGTCGCAACGCGTCGATGACAATCGATACGACATACATTTACCTCGGCGTGCAATTCGACCATGACCTCGAAACAATTGTTCCATTCTTTCGATACGATCAACCGCCATCGTTGTTGCGCCGCGTCGTTTCAAAACAGGGGAAAGAAGGTGACTAACCGAGATCCTAACTCGGAGCTAACACTGACCTAGTCGTCGATCAGTGAAATAGGTTCGATGGGTGTCACGGCGACGCTTTTGCTCCGCGTATCGTCGTTCCACGCCGTTTTTTCGCCTCGTTACTTTTCCACGGGGATCCAATCAATTTTCCTCCATCAGCGCTCGTTACGTAACCAACGATCGAACTCGTAACTTCACGGTTGGCACCGGCCCCGGACTACGAACACGTCATTGGTACTCGCGTAAAAATCCCGCCGAAGAGGGGAAAAAAGAGGAATAAAATTCAGAAAGCGGTCAATCGGAAACCGGTATGACGTGTTCCCCGATCTAGCTCGCTAGATTCGCGGCTTATGAATGAAAGGACCTTATCGGTTTCGTTTGACTCTCTCCTTCTCCGCACCGCGTCGGATATTTCGGGGTCGAATGAGTAACAAGCCGGTCGATGATTAATTCCGTCATTCCCATTGAGCAACGCCGATCGCGTAGCAGCGGAATTATTACCGGGCACCTGGCGGAGATTTCTCGCTCGCCAGGGAAACGCTTAGATGGCGCTTATCTTCCAAAGGACTGAACCTTATTCGCAGGATTATCGCAGACCAGCGAGGCACCTTCGGCTCGAGATGGCCGCGAGAGTTTCGATACGTGCCGTTTACGTCAGCCTCGTCTCATCTCCGACAATGAGAAAGCTGCTGCACCTGTACACGGCTATAATCACGGTATTTGCACACTCGATGACCTTGTAGGTATCCGTATCGCTCCGCGGAGCCTTGAACTTGCACGCCGAAGAATCTGGTACGAACTTGGAAGACGATCTCTCCGATCTCCTCGCCAGTCCATCTTTGCTCGATCCACCGTTCCATCTTCCGCCATTTTTATCTCATTTTCGCCATCGTCGATTGTCCACCTAAGTATTACGTAATTCCATCGCGACACGACGTGACGCTTCCACGCTTCTTTCCTCCTCGACCTCGTCCCTCGTTCCTCCTCCGACGCGCGATATTGCACCCGTGAATTGTTCCCCGTCGAAATTCTTCGGAAATCACGAACGAAGGGGGGCCCGAACGCCTTAAACGCGGCTACCCTTTCGCGTGCTTAAAATCCACCGACGTCGCTCCGTTTCTTACCGATAACCATTAACAAGACTCTCGAACGTGAAATTACTCCGCGGGTTCAGCCTTCCCGCAAGGTTAAGCGCAAAATCGTCTGACGGGCGGCGGAATTTTTCTGCTCGGCCGCCGGTTGCACCGCGAGCGCCGCTGCTCGCTGGCGATTATCCGTAATGGCGCTTCAGCGAAGGCAACAATTGCCAGGACGAGCTCGCTGATCACGCTTATCGTTCCTTAATTCCTATGAAATTCCCGCGAGTTACGCAACGCGCCGCGTTTCTCGCCGACGATTCCTCCTCGCGGTCGGGACGAGCTCGAGACGCGCCGTTTAAGGTCAATGCCGAGGCGGATCGATCAAACATTCGGCCAGGCTTAACGATCGATGGCTGATATTTACTGGCAACGGGAAGCTCGATAACGAGGGAACCACGGCTGCGAGATTCTTGCACGGACATCTTGTTAAGTTGATTCCTGCGCGCGACAGTTCGGTCCGAGAGACGTCCTGATCGGAATCTTCTTCGTTCCCACGTGTGCGCGCGTCAGCAGGAGGAAAAGTATTCGACTCGACGAGATAACGAATATCCGTGTACGTGTAATTGTTTTCCCATTCGTTCCTTTCATTCGAGGAATTTTCGCAAATAGCGAGACAGTCCGTAGGAACGAGAGTAAAACGATCGAAGTAATCTCTGGGAAGATCGTTGCGCAGAAACGACGCTGCTCGAGGATCTATTCTTATCCCGGCGAGTATTTCTGCGCGAAAACGCGCGGGATTTCTTTCTCGTGGCGTTGTTGCGAGCGAGTCGATAATCAAGCTGCAACCTCGACGGGAGTTGTTATTTTCGAATAGGAAGCGAGCGTTTCCGTGTGCGCGAGCACACGCGAGAAAGAAAACGCGAGGGCACCGAAGGAGCCGCGGAGAAGAAATCCGCGCGCCGCTGTGGAAGGCGCGAGCCGGCTTGTTTTATTCTCGTTTTCTGACTGGCGCCAGCTGATCGCCGTCATATAGGATCCGCGCAATTAAAGATTCAATTTCGCATGAAATTATAGTTATCCAGTCTGGGGAAAATGACGTGTTATTACAGGTCTGCCCCAGCCTGTTCCGTTCCCCCGTCCGCTGATGACTTCTTTCGATCCGCGATGGTTTGTCTCCGGCAAAAAATGCTCAATGAACATTGTCCGTCGGAGCAGAGTAAAATGTAATCGAAATCGTAATACATAACACTCGCGGCGCCTCGGGGGAAAAGCGTCGCGCGGGTAATAAGCGTTCTGCTGATCGTTTAGGGCGGTCCGCAGCAAGCGCTAATTTTTCTTCCACGCGAACACGCTAATGATCGAGCCAGAAATGGCGTCTTCCTTGCGCCTGCAGCGTATCATGGCCGAAACGAAATTCTTCGTTCGGATGCTCGTATCGGCCACGTGGAGCTTTCGAGCGGGTAGCAACCGATTCGAGTTACTTATCGACGGTACCCCGATAGGAATCGGGGCTGAAACGATAGATCAGCGGGTTTCGATAAGTTTGTTAGAAATGTTAGAAAGGCAGTGCCTAGATCGAGCACAACAACGGCAACCGCGAAACATCGATCTTCGCGTATTGCATAAATTAACTTTGCACCGCGATTGAATGCGATGCAGGTTGAAAGGAGATTCATCGTATGCAAATTGACGATCGATTGTCGAGACCGCGGGGTGAATTATATCCATGTTGGTCGATGTTATGGCTGACAAAGGCACGGCTGGTACCGCCATCATCCGACTGCTTTACGAGCCAACGTAATAATCAAACGATCCAGAAAGTTGCAGCCTGCGAGTATTCAGCTGTAGCGGTTGTACGCGTTCGAAAGTACCGAATCGATTCGCTTCTATTCGAATCTCGTGCAGTCGATACGACATTCTATCGTTATTGTTCTACCGACCGATTAGAATCGTGACAAACTTACATCGTCGATCCAGTTCGTGGCTATCGGCGCATTAGAATTTCAGATCGAGGCACGGAGCGCGTTTAATCGATCGTACTTAGACGATCTACGTCCCGGCTGCCTCCCAAGTTCGTCCCGAGACATTAAAATTACAATGTATAATAAACGACGATCAATTAGGATAATTCGTAATACAGGCTGCCGCAAGGCCGTCGATGCCGCATCACGCGAACGGCAGCGCGACCAGCAAGATAAATAACAAGAGACGAAGGCATCTTCAGTCTGGCAATTATATCGAAGCGAAAGGTGGATGCTTTTGATCGAACCTTGAACGTTCGCGCGAAGCAATTTTCTCGCGATGCACGATGCTCATCGCGTACCCGCATACACGGTTGCACAACCAGCCCGGAAACGCTTTATTGGTGGTTAATTGTTCGCATTGTTATCTCGCGTCGACATAACGGTTATGGAAATTCCGTGGAAAAAAACGAAATTGCCTTTCTAAGTAAATCGTCGCTTAATCTACATTTCCTAGTTTCAGTTTCCACCGAAACTGCGGATATTTTCCTTCGAAATTTCCAACAACCTTAACCGGACGATCGTTCTCGTGCGATTCCCGTTTTCCAACGATTTATCGATTACCTTCGTAATTAGCTGCGAATTAGTCGATCTGTCGCGTATATTTCTTTTCATTTCCAGTTAACTTTTTAATTACTCCTTTGTGTAATAAAAGTGATCTTATCTTTTATGGAAGCGCGCGCCTTTTACGCGCTCCCTTCGATTCAATTATGACATTATAATTGCGAGATTCTTATGACTCACGCCGATGATAGGTTTCGCACGATTAATTTTACTTTCAAAACGGTTCTATGCTCGGTTGATCAGCGTTGCTGGATTGTTTATAATTTCTAACTCTCCTTGCACGGATCGATCGAAGCGAGTCGTCGTATTTTTACGAAGATTAACTTAAAGTACAAGCTGTTAATAAAATTTGGCCAATTATTGAATGACGTAAACGCAACGTGCTTTAAAATATTTGAAAATTTCAAGCTCTCGCGCTTATTCGAAGTTAGAAGCGTTTGCAAACGAGATCGATTCGCGCCATTAGGTATCTACTTGTACCGACGATAGATAGCGCTGCTTCGGGATCGCACGCTTTCGTTGTTCCTTGCTAGATGGTAACATCTGTCGTTTTGCGTATTTTTACAACGTGCTTCTGAATGTTTCGTTTCTTCGATATTCCTCGACAAACGCTTTCGTCTCTGTAAACGAGCTATTTCTCGGCCGTTATCGTATCTGCGTTCCGTATCTTCGTCAATAAGGACTTTTATATGACGAATCCTAACCTATCGCGGGACTTCCTGCACGCGTGTCAAAGTGGAAACTTATCAAGTGTGAAAACACTGGTATCGAAACACGACATTCGAGATTGGACACTGTTTCGACACTCGACTTCCGGTGACACCGCGTTACACGTCGCTTCACGCGAGGGTCACTCGAATATCGTTCGATATCTGTGCGAGGCTTTCGAGAAGCCAGATTTCAGAGTCGATGTTGCCAACAAAGACACGAAAAGACCTCTGCACGAGGCTGCGCAGTTTGCTCGCAGCGATATCGTGAAATACTTGATCGAGAAAGGTTTCTGGCTTTTATATAACGCTTTTTCGCTTTTACGAATATATTATACTTGACATTACCTTCGTTTAAAGGTGCAACCGTGGATGCTTTAAAGCGCGCTGATTGGACGCCACTCATGCTAGCTTGCACGAAAACCGGAAGTGAGGCAGACGAATGCATTACCGCGCTCTTCGAGGCAAAAGCAAATCCATTTTTCCGCAATAAAGACGGATGGACACCGTTGCACATGGTTTGTCGTTCTGGCAATGAAACTGCCTTCGATTTATTGGTCAATCGGTTCCCCGAGTGCGTCGATGGTCGAAGTAACAACGGTCGTAGCGCTATGCACATTGCTGGTAATAATTTTTATATCGATTTCTTCGATGAGACGGATACGATTAACGGTATAAATACCGATCATTGGGAATCACGAATTTTTCAACGTTTCAGCGTTCCACGGTCATGCAGGTATAATCGATCGTCTCGTGGCGCTCGATTCGAATTGCGTGAACGCGCGAGATTCCTCGGGATCCACTCCTCTTCACGAAGCAATTAAAGGAAATCATTTAACCGTGGCCAGGCAATTGATAAATTTCGGAGCCGACGTTGAAGCTACGGATAACGTTGGTCAGACTGTCTTACGCGTAGCAGCTATAATTGGAAACGTAGAAGCTGTCGGGAACATTTTAAAGGATTAATCGATCTACACCGCGATTCGACACGATGCTGTTAAGCCAAGTATTTCCTTCTTCGCGCAACTCGTCGACCAGTCGAGTAACGAGTATTGTATCGAAGAACAAAGCTGTTTAATCAGGAAATCTTCTAAAATAGACAAAAACGAGACATATTTTTATTCAGAGATTGGTACACATTTATTTATCCTTTTTTCCTGTATCAGACAGTCTTAAAGAAGCATACAAAAATGAAGAAACGGAGGCTCTTAGTAGATCGGAGATACCTAGATTTTACATTCTTCTTGTTCGTTTGTGTTCTTCCTTTTTCTTCTTCTTCCTCTTCTTCTGCTTGTTCTTCGGTCTTCCTCTTCCTTTTCATTTGTTAGCGTGCGCAGGCAGGCGATGATTCACGGGAAACTTACGCGCGTAATTACGTGCTGAAACCGTGTCCGCGTTTTTTTTTTTTTTTTTTTTTTTTG